AGACAGACAGACAGACAGACAGACAGACAGACAGACAGATAGATAGATAGATAGATACACAGACAGCCAGACAGACAGACAGATGATAGAAAGACAGACAGATAGATAGATACACAGACAGACAGACAGATGATAGAAAGACAGACAGACAGACAGACAGATAGATAGATAGACAGACAGACAGACAGACAGACAGACAAGCACAGATAGATAGATAGATATGGTCAGATTATAGATTGATAGACAGATAGATAGATTATAGATTGATAGACAGATAGATAGATAGATATTGTCAGATTATAGATTGATAGACAGATAGATAGATTATAGATAGATAGATACACAGATACACAGACGGACAGACAGACAGATGATAGAAAGACAGACAGACAGATAGATAGATACACAGACAGACAGACAGATGATAGAAAGACAGACAGATAGATAGATAGATAGATAGATAGATAGATACTGTATATAGACCGACCGACCGACCGATAACCTATATTATATTCCAGTACTATGCATAGGCTAGTTGACTACATGCATCGCGGGTTGTGAAGGGTTTATTATGACCTGAGGTATAAACAGTTTCATTTTTTTTTCCCAGACAGCAGCTTCTTTTCATGTGTTTTTATGCTTTTTGGTTAGACTGGGGTATTCCTCTTTCATAATACATCAGTTCACATTCTTTGGGGGGGGGGGGGAAAGCTTGAGTAATTCTAGAACAAAGGAATAAAGCTGTTGGCCTGTAAACCTTACAATACCAAGTGTGCCATACTGTGGCCATGTGTTAGGCTTCAGGAACACTGTCTGGAAGTGTGTGTGTGTGTGTGTGTGTGACAGCTGAGAGTAGGAACAGGATCTTTATGCGATCATCAGATGCACAGTTCAGGAATGGTAACAAAGACTGCGTTTCCTTTTTAGTTAGGGGGAATGTTGCTATGCTATTTGAGAGCCATCATCACCGTGGTAACTATCAACATCCTCAAGGCCGCTTGAAGAGGTGTTCGTTTGGCTGTTGGTCGAGTGGCGGACCGCACCGCTTCGTTCTGACCGTCATCACGGTGGCAAGGATGGAGAAGAAGAACAGGGAAGGAGGCAATGTGGGAGTGAGGGGAGGAAAGATGGAGAGGGATGTTGGGATATGCTGGAGGAGAGGAACTTTTGCACTTTCAACAGATTCAGAAAGTCCATTAGTCCTTTCTCAGTTTCCGGTTTCTGGGAGACCTTCTCAGAATGTCATCCTCTGATTTCTACACGAGACACAATATGAGAAAATGGCTGTGTCAACAAAAGTAGTGAACAGATGTTTTTCAAATATTTGGTCAAAACAATTTGCAATGCATCAAGCCCTACTTGGACCGTAATTATTTTTCATGGGGTTAGTCTATAAAAATAAATTTGCATTTGTGCAGATGATGATTTACAATCCTATAAACTCAGAAATGCACTTCTTAATTGGTCAGTCACATGTTCAACATTTATAAAATACCCTATTTAATAACAGGAAATTGATGCACAATAGTTTAAATGGTTTTCTATCATTTTACACTTCCATGCATGTCATTTTTATATGTGGAAATCAGCAGAAATAAGTTAACACAGCTGTATTTACATCAGGCAAACATTTGATCGGACTACTTTGTCGACTAGTAGATTAGTCGTGCAAACTCTAATTTGCATAAATGTATGCAATACATTTTAAAATCGTATTGATTACCTGTTGCTGCCATAACAATGGTCCATTTGAAAGGTTTACACAATTTTGTTCAGTTTTGTTTTTCATCTTAACAACTCCCAGTCACTGTATTGGAGCAGTGACTTTATATTATTCTTGGAAACAGGTTCCATGTTTAAAATGTGTAGCACAACAGTTACTGTGCAGTTCTTGGCATAGGTCAAAAAGGATTTACAAATTACTATTAGACTGATCCTCATAAATGTGGATTTGGACAGCAATCAAATTATCACACAACTTCTGTGCTTATCAAAAAACAGTAGTTAATTTGTCCGTACATTTTTATGTTGGTAATGGGAGAGAAAAACAAAAACAAAAAAACATTCTGGATTCAGGCAGCAATTAAAAAAAAATTTAATAAAAAAAAGACCAGCCCCTGAATAAACATTATGTCCCTATGAGAAACAATTATCCAGAATCAGGACCTCTATTAAGACAACATCAATTTGGGAAAAATTAAATGGCATTAAACACACCTAAAAATAACCCTAATTTACATGAACGCATAAAATGCTGCTGAAGACTTGTGTGGTGAAGACAAATTGATTTACTAAAATAAACTTTCTTCCAAATCCACATCAAGGTGCCTATTAAAAGACTTGAACCTTTTAACTACTAAAAATCCTGTTGCTATGGAATCTAAACAACAACACTTGCTTATAGAGTCTCAAAACATAACATTTCCAATGTTTTTCTAGTAGCGTAAGATTCTCTACCTCATTAGATGTATCGTCGTCTTTGTTGTCGCTCCCTGCGGCCTCCTCTGCTTCTCCCGAGGAGTCCTCTTCCTCACTCTTCTTTGCTTCTGAGGGAAGAACACCACAGAATTAAAGGAAACAACTTAACCTTCATAAGGTCATAAACCATGAACTAAAAGAAAAAACAAGACTCTATGAAGGATTTAGCAAAAGTTGTAATAGATGTGTGTCATGTTTATCTATCAGACCTGATTCTTCTTCCTTAGCTTCCTCTTCCTTAGCTTCCTCTTCCTCAGCTTCCTCTTCCTCAGCTTCCTCTTCCTCAGCTTCCTCTTCCTCAGCTTCCTCTTCCTCAGCTTCCTCTTCCTCCTTCACATCTGGCTGTGGTGCGTCTGTCTTCTTGTACTCAGCAGCAGATGTGGACGCTGGGCTCTTCTGTAAGGCACAGAACGACATTTATTCTACAGATCCACCCTTGGCCATACATTAAGGTCAGGCTACTTTAAATGACACACACTTACCTTTCCAGTGCAGCAGAAGACAATGATGAGCACCAGAGGCAGAGCCACAGTCAGGACGTAGACGATCCAGAGCCAGGGTCTCTCTTCAGCAGCTGTTATCATCTGATTCACCAGACCGGGCTGTGAACACACACGCACACTTAATTTACTAACACACATGCACAAGAGTCCCACACAGCCAATCTACAAGAACTTTGCTTCTTTATTTTTTTCTGCCATTTTCACCACTATCAATAAAAGTAGAAATCAGGAAATCACATGGCCCAAAAACCCCCAAAAAGATTATCTTGTAAAATCTACTAAGCTACAATTAAATAA